GGCTAAGGGTTCCAGGGTCCCAGCGGCACATCCCCACCCAGAAATTCCCAAAGTACCCTCCCCCCCGGGGGCTGTATAAACTGTAGTACCTCACAACTTCATTTCTCTCGTCATAAATGAACACACTTTTTTTTACAGTTGTTACAGTCGGAGTGATGTCGTAAATTTTTTAGCGACCTCACTTATGTAGACGTAGATGTAGATGTATTACTTTAAGACTTACCACATGGTAATACAATAACACCGGATCTGGCTCTGCCGTTACCAAACATTTTCCGAAGGCTCTTTTCCTAATAAATGATAAAAGATTTCTTTTAAAATATCATTCTTTCTCCATCTCTGCCATCTGCGGTTTTAGACCAAGCTCGCATACAAATGTTCCTGAACTGACGATTTAAGAAATTCCCTTTTAGGCAAAAACACTGAACGAAATACAATAACACAAATCCTAATTACTATCAGGGAAAAAGCATTATTTCATTCATTTCAATAATGGTGATCTGTGTATATGTCGATTAACTGCTGATCTTATTTTTCAAGCTATGGAGAAACAAAATTAAAATAATGTGTGAAGATATTCTGATGTACCTGGTACGGCCTTAGAACTGTAGTTGGCTTCAAGTCCATGCTAAATGGAGAAGCGGATAGATTAGCGTTTCATTGCAAATTGAAGAAACATTTACTAATTTTGAGACTACTTTTAATTAGTTAGCGCTTTGTAAAGTTGTGCAAATATTGCTAAATACAAACTCCCTGAGTTTAAGATAGCATCGTGTTTTCTTCATTTTAAGTTTATTAACAACTTAAGGTTACTAATCTGGTGATATGTGTTTGAACATGTAATCAGTTGTTTTCCCCATTTAGGGCAAAACTCACAACACTGAGTTCAAACACTGACAAAGGTAGGTAGGTAGGTAGGTAGGTAGGTAAGACTTTATTTTACGAGGGCAACATTTGACAGTATTAAAACTGATAACCTAATGGCCCTCATTGTGTTACCTCAAAAAAATGTTATTTGAGGGTTACTACTGACAATAATTGTTCTTCACCATTTAATTAACAACATTTTTTTATTGCTGACACCATGTTTAATGTATTGAAGTAATAAATGTGTCCACTTCACTATTGGATAATGCTCGAACAAAAATCTAATCCCAAAACATTCCATATTTAACAGAAGGTTTGGACAGTAAACTCACTTCAGATCTGGATTCACTGTATCATTTTTAAAATCATATTCTGCCAATAAAGGATAGTCCAGTTCAATACATCTGTGAGAAAAGAAGTAAGTTTAGTAATAGGCAATTTGCACAATGGTGTCATTTGACAACAACTACCAGAATCCTTAACTTTTTCTGTTTCTTAAGTTAATTAGCTAAGAGTAATTGTTATTTAAACCCCACAGGGGCTTTAAAATTTAAATAATAAAGGAAAAGGAACAAACTGAAATCTGGTAGTAGTTGTCAAATGACAATATTAGAAAAATTCCTGAACAATAAGTTATAAGAAAACTTCAGTCAACAAAATTTGTACTTTGGAAAAGTTTAATGAGATCCAAGAATGTTTAATATGCTATGTGAAGATCAAGCAAAATAATACACCCCAATTATTATTTTCTAATTCCTTCAAATAAATAAATTGAGAACATTTTCCAAGAAAATGCTATGCTTTGAAAACAGTTTCTACAGGCTTCAGAAAGCATAACAAATCTGATAATGAAGAATCTTTGGTGGGGG